CCCCAAAACCCCAAAACCCCAAAACCCCGTTCAATAAGATTTTGATCAATTTAAAAATTAGATATGAGAATATAGAAATAAATATCAGAATAATGCATTATTGATCATTCAGAAGCGTCAAATAATGTATTTTCAGTTCTAAACAATGTTGATTGAAGTTACCCATCTTCATATAATCTTATTTCAATTTAGTCTCCATTTTGAGGGACATGCATTACAATTCCATCAGATTAGCCATTATTCCATTATCCAATTAAAATATCTTCATCATACTTAGCTATTCCTAGACCACATCTCTTGTCATCATCGTACTAGCCATAATAATAATTGCCATTGTGGTACCAATAAAATCCTAATCCCTCAATTCTGCCGTTAAGGAAATTTCCCTCTTGCATACTTCCACTTGGGAAGACATATTAACCTTTTCCATTCCTTCGGCAATTTTAAAACTCACCGACATAATAACTACCCTTTGGATCTATTTGTCTTCCCAGACCTCTAAGTTTTCCATCTTACCAAATTCCTTCTTAAAGCTAGCCATCTGAATATATACTCCTCCCTCTACCGTCTGGTTATCTAGTATAACTATCAATCTCACCTTGATATTGGTGATTTTCATCTATAGTGAATGTGGGTACAAAGATTCTATCAGGATTAGGATGGATATTTTAAATAACAGGAAAGTTAAAATCACCTAACTTAGCTAAGATTTCATTAACTTTGTCATTTGATGATTTAAGCGTCAATTTGAATGCATTTTATAGCAACACATTACTACTTTTCTCCTCCTCATCAATGTGTCTGTGCAAAGAATCACTGATAAGTAAACAAAGTTCAGATATTATTTCAAGAGACTATGGTCTTTCGTCAGGCTTAAGTTTTAACATCCTGTTCAAAAGCGGTTCAAATATTTACCTTCTCTCAGGAAGTTTGAATTCAAAGGCTGGATCTTGAGTTTTTATGTCGGCTAATCTCTTCTTTTGAGGTCCGTATTGGCATTATTCTGTGCACAAGTAGTGTAGAAGTACTCCAGCTGACCAAATATCTGCTTAGTGGCTGTTTGTATTATCTTCATCAATTCCGATTTCTGGAGCATTAAAATACTTTTTGCCCACTATGACATTTTACTCAACGTTAGAGGAAGAAGTTCCATAGTTACTTAGTTTGAATTTCTTTCCACTTTCCAATACTTGAATGCTTTTAGGAGTTAAGTCGATTGGAGAAACATTTTGTTTATGAAGGTAGTTGATTCCTTTCATTAATTGAAGCATTATCTCAACAATTTCTTCATTGCTGATGACAGGATTAGCCTCTCTAAAGGATCTTAAGTTGTCCTCAGCTAGCTCCGTAATAACAATGAATTAGTCGTCCTATGTGAAGTATGATTCTTTAAAGTTAATGATGCTCGAATGGGATAATTTGAAGTTGCTTATATCTCTGATTAATCGGATGATCTCGTTGCTTAAGCTATTTTGACCTCTATTAATCTATTTTTTGAGATCTTATGCCTTCATTGTGTAGAATTTTCCATCTGAAGTATTTTTTACTTTGTATATAGTTCCTAATTCTCCTTTCGAAATTTCAGTCTCTAATATGTACTTTTCCCACTATTATTAGATTTTATAGGATACGTATTTTTCCATTTATTTTAATAAATCTAACTCATGATTTCGATATTCACTCTAAAATGAGATTAAAGCATAGTGGGGTTTTGGGGTTTTGGGGTTTTGGGG